CCCTCCCCCTCCTCCTCCTCTCTGGCCGTCCATTACAGCCAGTTACTGACTTTAATACTGCTGTTCTCAGGAAGCGCACCTATATAGGAAGGGCAGAAAAATGAACGAAGGCAGACATTTGATATTGATTTTCTTTTCTTCTGTGAAATTATATGAAAGCTCAATACCTGGTGGCAGTAACTGGATCAATAGACTCCATTTGAGCCAGCCTTGAAGCGACCATCCCAGACTTCCTCTGCAGTCAGGTTCATTATGTCTAACCTTCTGTGGTGCTCAAGTACTCTGGAGGTTTTTTGCTTGTTTGTTTCATTTTTGTCTCTCTCTCTCTCTCTCTCTCTCTCTCTGTGTGTGTGTGTGTGTGTGTGTGTGTGTGTGTAGTTAGTACAGGGTCTACAGGGTCTCGCTACACAGATAGGACTTTGTAGTGATCCTCCTGTTTTTCAGCCTCCCAAGAGCTGGGATTACAGGCGTGCACCACCAAGCCCAGCCTCAGTTGCCATTTTAGCGCGCCCTGGGGGCTGGGGCTGGCATGGCAGGCTGGGGATCAAACCCCTGCCCCTCCTTCTGCCTAAACAGGAGCTTTAATCGCTGAGCTATCTGGCCAGCCCACATTTCTGTCTTTTCAGGATAGAGTATTGTCATGCAGTTCAGGCTGGCCTTGAGCTAACTCACTGTGTAGCCCAGGATGGTCTCAGACTTCTGGCCATCCTCCCGCCTCAGCCTCCAGAATGCTTGAATCACACTATTAAGTCTTTCAGTGAATTTTTTTAATTTAAACAATGCAGTGAGGATTTTGCTAAAGGTAAAATTATGAAGAATGAGAACAAAGGTCGGTCCTTTTTTTTTTTTTTTGGCTAAAAAATCAACAATATAAAAATACTGTATCTGAAGTGGGGCATGGTGGTACAAACCTGTAACCCCAGCACTCCCGGAGGCTGAGGGAGGAGGATTGCAAGTTTGAGTCCTGCCTGGAAAATTTAGCAACTCAACAAGATCCGGCCTCAAAATAAAAATAAAAGGGCTGGGGGTATAGTTCAGTGCAATAGCCCTGGATTCAATTTCTAGTAGTATTAAGAATTAGAAAATCTAAAGAGGCAAATAGGAAAATAAAGTGAATAGTGGTACCCTTGTTGTAGAGCAGGCGGGTAGAGCTGGGATGGTGCTGCGTCTTCCGGGGTTTGATCCACAGAAGGCTCAGCAGCGTGCTTCCTGCGGGGCTATGGAGAGGAGGAAGGTCCTTTACGTTGCGTCGGCCCCGGCATCTCATGTCTGTGCACATCGTGGTTGTGAACACGAAATGCTGTGTTGGAAACATGCTAAGCCTGTCTGCGGTCTCTGTTCTGCAGGGAAGCAATCAGCCGCCTGTGTGACGCTGTGCCCGGGGCCAGTGGAGCCGCTAGAAAGCGAAAGGTAAATATCCGTGTGGTGTTGCTTGGTTCGGGTTTTTCTAACTGTGGCACTGTGGCATTGAAGTAGTCAGGAGCTTCTCCCACCCTGAGAGAAGCTGGCCTTTGTTGGGTGGTGTGTATCAGGGCTGCACCCAGAGGTGCTCTGTGAGCTGACCTGTGTGACATGGGAGCGCCTGCCCACCTCTAACACTGTGTCCCTGTCTCGTGAGATGCTGTGCTTGTCCCGTGAGGTTGCGGAGTCCAACCAGCTGGCCCATGTGGTGTCTTCTGGTTTCAATATGGTAGCAACGTATGTGATTTACATTTTAACATTCTTGACATTTTAAACTTCCTGGCCTGTTTTCCAGTGTGGACAGGCAGAGAGGCGAGGTCATAACACCTGAGGGGAAGGGGTTGGCCACGCTGAGAGAAAGTGAAAGCTGGGATTAAACTGGGGATCTTGCACTTGCCAGGCAGGTGCTTAGGCCTCCGAGCTGTCTCCCCAGCCCTGGAAGTGAAAGTTTTGATACTGGCCACACTTGGATTGAAATTCTGCCTCTGCTACCCAGGGACTGTGTGATATTGGACAAGTGACTTATTTGCTGGATTCTTGATTTCCTCATCTGTGAAATGGGAGAAGATAGCACTTTCTGGAGAGGAAGTGAAGTCGTGTCCACAAGGTGTGTGACAGCGACTGGGATATGCATTCAGTAGACCTCTACTGTCTGTGTTAATGGTGGCACTGTGGCTATGAAACTGTTAGCCCTGCGGGCGCAAAGCCCAGCGAGGAGTTGCATGAGGCTCCCAAGGTAAGTATGGAAATCCCGACATCATGGACGGTCTAAGAAGAAGGCTCTTGGAGATCGTCTGGTCTACCCTTTCCCCGCACAGCTACTAACCCAGCCTGCGAGAAGAGCTGGTCACCAGTGCAATGAAGGTCACAGCCAGCCGTAGAAGTCAAAGCTTGCTGGTGCTTTGTTTCTATGTCACCTGCCTCACTCTTTGTTACCACTCTTCATCATGTGCAGAGGGCTGAACCCAGCGACTCCAAGCAGCCATTGGTGTGGGAAACTCCACGAGTGGCCCTTGCGTCTGGTTTTGAATTTCTTATAATTGATTTGTTCAGTGGAGCTCAGGGCCCCAAAACAGCGTCTAGAGGATGACTGCTCCTTCCCCTCTTCGTCTCTGTGCATAGGATTCTCCAGCTGGGCAGCGATCTCGACAAACAGACTCATTCATCTAAGACCTTTAAATTTCAGGAGTAGGGATTCCAAACCCCAAAAGAAAACGAGCCTAGCTATCATCTTTGCAGGAGGTAGACCCAGGAAGAAAAACGGAAAGTTTAAAGTTCATTTCCGGGGCTGGTGAGATGGCTCAGTGGTCTAAAGCTTGGCAAAGCACAGGGACCGCAGTTCAATCCCCCAGCACCACATGCCATCCAGCCCCACCCCCTGGTGGGCTGAGCTGGCCACACACACACACACACACACATACACACAATAAATAAATAAATAATAAAATAAAGTTCATTTCCTTCATTTGATAAATACTTATTGAGTACTTTATCTGCGTAGTAATTAATACAATGAGTATTTAAATTTTAAAAACTATATGATAGTGAAAGATATAGGGCCATTAATCCCCTTCACAATACTCCTCCTCCTCCTCCTCGATTCAAAAGCGCTTGTCGCGTCACCCTTGCCACTTTCCGGAGCAGCTCTGGAAGCCCTCTTTCGTGAGTGTCGCTAGCTGTGCTGTGGTGGCCGCTTCCATGTGTTGACGCAATTCAACATGTTTGCTTTTCACGGTCCTTCTGGCCTGGGGAAGAGCCGGAGTGAGAGCCGCGAGTAAGGCGGAGGAGGACCGCTGGGCGGCGCTGCGCCGCGTCCACCCACCATATTTGTGTCCACATCTTAGAAAGCCACTCAGGAGAGAGGACTTCGGGAACTGCTGTAGAAGGTGGCAAGAATGATGGGCTGAGTGTGTTTGAAGCGAGGGGAGGATTTTGAAGGGGATTCATAGCAATGTGTCTTTTATTATAAATTTAAAAAAGTTTCCCAGCATTTTGCATTTTTTATTCTCTTCTTTTCCAATTCTTTTACTATAGGAAAAAATATCCTACACATAACAAACTTATCAGATAACACAATTGTCATCTTAACCTTAACCATCATTACCTGCAAGTATACGGGTCAGTGGTATTGTTTTATTTGTTTTTCTAGTCTCTAAAGCGTCTGTCTGTAATCTTTATTATCTCCTTCATTGTGCCAGCTTCGCATTTGACTTATTATCTAGCTCCTTAAATTTTAAAGTTGGCTTTTTACTTGAAACCTTTCTTTTTTAATATAAGGCTTTATAGCTATAATTTCCCTCTCAGCACTGCTTTGGCTGTGTCCCATAAATTTTGGTATTACGCTTTGTGTGTGTGTGTGTGGTCTTTTTGTGAGGGTCCTTGCTCTGTAGTCCAGGCTGGCTTTGCATTCCCTGTGTGGTCTAGGCTGACCTCGAACTCACAGCGATCCTCCTGCCTCAGCCTCCTGAGTGTTGGGATTAGAGGAGTGCACCACCACACCCAGCTATGCTTTTTTTTTTCTTTTTTAATACTATCTTAATTACGACAAAAAAGGCAAAAACCTTACAAACAGCCAGACATGATGGCTCATACTTGTAAGCTTAGCTGCTTGGAAGACTGAGGCCAGTCTGGGAAACCTAACAAGGCCCTATCTCAATAAATAAACAAATTTTCAAAAATCTGAACCAGCCCTGTGACTTACCATCACTTACAGATGAGGAAAGCAGGGCCCACAGGGTTAAGGACTTGCCTGGTGCCGCAGTCGGGCGGTGTGAGTGTCAAGGGCGGGCAGGCAGCCTGCAGATCCAGCCCTTCCCTGGACGCTGTCTGCCTCTCCAGCCTCGCGTTGCTCCCCAGCTGAGGGAGCCCAGAGCCACTAAGCAAAAGAATGGAGGATCTCAAGTCTGTCATAGAGTCCCAAGGGCCAGTCTGCTGAGTCAGTACTGACAAAAGCATTCATGAATGTCAACTAAGGCCTCCTTATCTTAGTTTTTCATTTGTAAAACAGGGACCAGCACCCTCCCAGCCAGCCTCTGCTTTTCCAGGACAGTTGAGAAGAGTCTCACCCTCAGATCTCCTTTCTGTTCCCTTCTCCTCTCCTCTCAGCAGTGACACAGCCCCAGGCCCGGGTCCCCCCAGTTGGCCCCCACATCTCCACTTAAGACACAGCACTAACCATCATCGGTAATAAAGTTGGTACTTTAGTACAGAGCTGGACTCCTGCGGGACTTGGCAGGTGGAAGGGCCGGATGGTGGTATGACTCCTGTTGTGCAAACTGAGACACCAAGGGGGCCTCAGGGAGCAACGGGCACCCTCAGCTACTCCCGCACTCCCTGGGCCACCTGGGGGCTGAACTCAGTCTGCCTCAGTGCCAGTCCTGTGTGCCCTGCCCCCATGTGCCCACAGAAAATCACATGGTCTGTGGCTTGTTGGAACTCAGGTCATTTCTGTAACCATGAGAGACTGTCTTCTTCCATACAGTAAGCACGTGTTGAGCGTTCCTCACAAGGTAAAGGTTATTTTGAGGGCAAGATGAAGACGATGTAGGTAAACATTCCTCAAAAATAACAAAATGCTTGATGATGCTTATGAGATAGCAGGATAATCGAAGTAGTATTTTAAAACTACCATAGAAAAAAATCTCTCCAGAAGCGAATGAGTGATTTGCTGTTAACAGCATCATTTTAGAGAATAAAACATGCTTAAGCAGTGCAGCTGGCCTGGCCACCGTGAGCGTGAAGAAAGCGGACCAGAGTCAACTTGGTGAGAAGTGGTGCCCGTGAAGTTTGGGCTCTTACTCCCGTGTCCACTGCGCTTCAGGGTGTGCTTGGCAGCGGGGGAAAGTGAAAACATATGTACTGAATTTCGACAGTGTACGTTCCCTCTTGGTGTGGTTCTGGAAGGAATCAACCAAGAATAAATACAAAAACAAGACTGTGACAGGAACAAACTGTGTTTCCATTGATTGCCTGATCGGTATTTTTTGAGCAATCACTAATTTTCTCCATCCTCAGTTTGGCCTACTTTCCAGCTGAGGATTGCAAGACTTAATCCAAACACCCATCCCAGTATTATATCTCTCAGACTGCCGCTTAGAGGCTCAGTGTTGGAAAGGACAGCAGTGATGATAACAACTACAACAACAGCTTTCCTGTATCCCGCCGAGTACTACCCTAAATGCTCTCCATTTGCCATCTAATTTAATTTTCACAGCAGCTTGGATGAGGCGGCAACTTTGCTGGGGCTTAGAAAGGTCACTGGTCCAAAGTCAGCCGGCTGCAAAGCGGCACACCTGTTTGGAGAAGGCGGGCAGCCCCCCCTTGCCATGCATGACACCTCTTGCCCCCACCATTCCCAAGCACTCTCTACTCTTCCTGAGAAGTCCCTGTCAAGATTGTCGGGTTTTAGCCAGGTGTGGTGCACTTCTGTAATCCCAGCACCTACAAGGCTCAGGCAGGAGGACTGTCGCGTTTGGGGGCCAGCTTGGGCTACATTATGATTTCAAGGCCTGGACTACAGAGTGAGACCCTGCCTCAGAAAAACAAAATACGGGTGGGGGATGCAGCTTAGTGGCACAGTGCCTGCCTGGCAAGCATGAGGTATGAGTTTTATTCCTGGTAGAAAGAAAGAAGAAAGAAAGAAAGAAAGAAAGAAAGAAAGAAAGAAAGAAAGAAAGAAAGAAAGAAAGAAAGAAAGAAAGAAGG